CTAGATCGTTTGATGCATGGTGTAGTAATCTGTAACCCTCCTTCTTGCTGCTCTTAAACTCTCTTTCTATCGGGTGAAGGAGATTCCAAGATTCAAAGTGAAAAACTCTAATCGTGAGTGAACTAAAACCTTAATTTCACTTAATTTTGAAGAATCATTGACTGTTACTAATTGTTTGATTGCTAATGAATAGAGTTTATTGATTCTATCTTATTTTTTGAATCCATAAGTGTATCTCTCTATCTGAGACCAAAAATGGCTTTGACTGGAAACTCTCACAACTTCTGTGATAGATTGGGGTAAATAGGTATTTAATCAGTGGAACATATTTTGAACATAGACTTATTCTCTAACTCCTATTTTTATTAAGAATTTTTTATTTGAAATTTTTTCTTCTGGTTTAACATTATTGTCATTTAATTTTAGAATCAATATATTGAAGCATTTTTTACTTCTTCATCCCCACCCCCTGGCAAAAATGAAAAGATATGCACAGTTCAGTGAGTTGCATATTTCACTAATCACAGAAAATATGATTTGGCTACCATTGTGAATATAGTTTGCATGTGTAATTTGCTTTTTATTATGTTCTTGATTTGTTGAGTTATATGAGCGTCTCACAATTTGCATATATTCTTAGGTGCAACACCCCCTGTACACCTTTGGGATTATTGTTATGTGAATTCCAAGTCTAACGGTCTATAGGTGTAACAACCCTCATTACCGTTTACCAAATAACCACTGATTACCGTTAAACTAAAACTGATTATGACTGATAACCGAACTGATTTAAATATTGAATTGATTGACTGAAAACTGAAACTGAATTGACTGAGTATATCTGTTCAATTGTATGTCTATCTGTTTGATTGTTTGATTATCTGTTTGAGTTTTATGTTCAAATTTGCGAATTGAAGGCCATGTCAGCAGCCGAACTGGAAACCGATTAGTGTTTTGTGATCATCGTAATTTACGTGATTTTATGGTATAATTATCTGAAAACTGATTAGGTATGATTAAATTAAATTAAATGGTACCAAATTACATAAATTACACTTATTTACCATTTTGCCACATGAGTGGCCTACACCATGATCAATATTTGAACCTTAGTATACACCTAGGCACACTTTTGCTCAGCTCATTCCTTGCCTTTGCCGACTAGAGAGAGGGAGATAAAGGAGAGAGTTGGATTTCATATCACTTTAGCTTGGAATTGTAGAAGAGGTTGCATATTTGAGCTCCCTTCTTGGACTACAAGACCTAAGGTAGATCATTGACCTTCTTTATTGTGTATTTGAGTTTATTCTTGCATGATTAATGGGTCTTCAGTGATTTAAGGCATGAATTGGTTCAATAGTGTTGAATTGAAGCTTAATCTTTGCATGCATGGCTTACTCTTGCATTTTTGAGGTTGTTCTTCATGGATTTTTGCATGCATGTCCATGTTAATGCTTAGGACCATGTTTTCATCTTGTTTTTGGAACAATTGGCTCCTTAGAGCATCAAATTGAAGTTTTGAAATGGTTTTAATCCATGCATGGTTGCATATTCTTCATATTCATGAAATTGGTTTCAAATTGAGTTTGTTTGAAACACCCTTGGGCTTTGATTTTACAAATTGAGCTTTGAATCATGTTAAAGTATGAGTTTTGATGTGTTTTTTGGAAAATTGGCCCAAGAGGATCGAAATTTATGGTTTAAAACTTGGTTTTGAGCTTGAGGTTCAAATCTGGAATTTCCAGAATTTGGACTCACGCTCGAGCGGGGTGATTGGCGCTCGAGCGTGGAAATCGTGCTCCCAGTATTTTGTTCTGTTTTGAAGTCCGCTCGAGCGGAATAATTGACGCTCGAGCGGGACATTGTGTCTCATGCTCGAGCGGATGTCGAGCGCCCAATCGAGCGTGATTTTCGCCTATCTAGCACTTTTGACTGTGTTACAGAACGCTCGAGCGGGTAAGTCTACGCTCGAGCGGAAACCTTTGTCTGCATGTCCACTCGAGCGGAGTAACCTACACTCGAGCGTGACCCCTGTTTTCTGAAAAGTCTGAAAATGCTTTTTCAAGTGCATCTTTGTATCCTCATCTCATCCTAGGCATTCTTAGGCCTAGTTTATGGCATCTTAATGAGGATATAGATGTAGAACACACCGAGGCAATTAGGGATTAAGTTATTATCCTTCCCAACTGTGTAGCTTAGTGTGTGTTCAATCTGTAACTGTGTAGGGTTAGCGACTGGGGACGCGCTCTAGCTTACTGTAGCCCAGAACTCTGTGAGTAACAACTGTGTAAAGATATGTTCAAAATGATTATCTTCTGAACAATTGAACTGTACTATTTTCTGAACTGATACAGTTAATTGAATGAATGTATGTCCTATATTCTGAACTGTATTGTGGCATCCTTACCACCTACTGTTTACTGTTACTGTTACAGAGATCTCTGTCGGTTCCCTCGTTGGAACCACTACTGTTACTGACTGATGGCCATCATTTACTGCTCGGTCTTTTAAGACCTACTGTTTACTGTACTGTTATGCTAATGGATGTACCACATATGACTGTATCGATTGAACGACTGAAATACTGATTTAATGAACTGTTTTCATTACTGTAAGGACATTCATTCTTAACCCCTTTACGCATTGTGTTATTCACTGGGCTTTAGTTCACTGCTCATATAGATATGTAGGTGTACAGGCACCAGACCGCAGCTAGAAGCGTCGGGGTAAACTCCAGTTTTGTCAAGCCAACCTATGTGCCTCAATGCGAGGTTCCGAGCCTGTCAAGCTACGGCTTAGGGGTGTTTTTGATTTCCCCGTCTGTCTCTATATCTGTTTTGCATAACTATATAGACTGTTACCGTACTGTTTAATAGGGATTAGGTCCCTGACTGAATGATTGTATATATGTACATACTGTTTTGTCTGACTGTATATATTTGAATGAAAGTCTTTTTGGCATACAGACTGTCACAGCTCATTGGACATTGTTTATTTACTGTATTGGCTTCCGCCAGCCCCTGTACTCTATATTACTGTATTACCTTTAAGCAGGCCTTCAGTAATCTCGGATTACTGGCCGGTTACGGTGCTAAACCCATAGGGGCGGGTTTGGGTCGTGACAATAGGGGTGTTTCAACAGATCAATTTGGTTGTTCTCTTTTTCTCAATTTCTTTTTTTAAAGCCTGAAATTTTACTTTCCTGTATGATCCAAAGGTTTAGTTATGGAATTCTTGGCTGATGGCTGATGGCTGGGTTTGTTATCCATTTTACCAAAGCACTGCTCATACTTTTTTCACTATCAACGCACTACTGGTACTACTTTAACCCACCACTACCACCAACCAATTCACACTATAACTTTGTCCACAGACTTACATAAAACATTATTTGGCTTGCGTAGGCAAATACAATTCCCTCATCTTCTGCCCATCAAGTTTCTACAAATTTCAGCAAATTTACATATGAATGTCTAAACAGTATTCACATTTTTTTTTTTCATTTTTTCTGCTCTTGCCTTCATCCGTTGTTTTTACTTTTGCCTCTTCCCTTCTCTCTCTATTTTTCTAGTAGATGGGTGATACCTATTTGAAAATATTGATGCAGGGCTTCTACCAAAACCACATGGAAGAAGTGATCAAGTTCTTTGAAACCCAACACAAGGTAATGACATCCATTGTTACTCCTTATGCATACAAAGCTGATCGGTATATCCGCTGCTCACCCCTAATGTCTACAAATTGTATGTCATGACCCAAACTCGTCACTAACCGGCTAGTAATCCTAAGATTACTGAAGACCTTTAAAATAGATTAACAGAATAAAGGGCTAGCAGAAGCAATATTAAATATACAATGTCCATAGAACTGTGTAGACATATATGGGACATAAAATTTAAACTTATATTCACATATATATAATGACGTTGTAAGTATATACATGATTGTCTTACCATCCACTTATAAACAAAACAGAAAGGACTTAGCCTTATATACTGATTAAACAAAAGTCTTGTTTAACCAAAAGCAAGACAAGAAAAAGACAGACATCACGTGCACTGCACTTGACCACTGAAACACTTGGGAACCTTCTCATGAGGCACGATGGTTGACTTGACAAACAGAACTCTAGGCTAGAACTTAGGCCTAGTCGTGTGCCTGACTACCTACACATATAGATAATATAGTAAGTTAGAGCCCAATAAATAATAACAGAGTAAAGGTGTTATGAATGATGTTCACAATAGATTTAGATTATAAACAGATTCATATACATATAATTGAAGCACATCCATGAAATAAGAGCATTGTTATTCAAGATAAAAATGTAAATTCAATTTTTAAGCCCAATGATGTAGTAATTAATCAAGATATTAAAGACAATTCTCTCTCTCATATGCTCTCCATTTATCAACTAATTTTATCACTTACACATAATTGAGTTTAGAAAATAAATCTAAATTATGAAGTTGTATATCATTTTCTTTTGAAGTAATTGATGCCTCTTATTCATGTTTTCCTCTCTTTTGATGTGGCATGTTGCCTCTTATTCATGCGTTCCTATTTTGTAATGTTTTCTTTCTTGTGATTGTAGTTGTTCTTGACGAGATAGGTTAATGTATGTATTTTTTATGTTATTAGTTGATCTATTTATTTTACTTTACTGATGAGAAAGAACATGATTTAGGATTAACAATCGTTAGATATGATTTTCATGTTACAACCTTTGCCATAAAATAATAAAACCAAAAATTATAAAGGAGTCGACAAAAATATCTCTCCTTAATAGCTTGTAATTTATTATAAATAATATCAGAATCAAGAAAACATTAACAACAATCAGTATCAACCACCACCGCCAACTCAATCAAAAAATAAATTGAATGAAATTGAACATTATAATATCTACATTAAAAAAAAATGCTAAATCTTAAACTCCGGCAAAATGAGTAAACTCCAGATCGGATCTAAATCAATAAGGTCGCGGCAAAGAAGACAACCGCAGCGGATCCGATGAGAGTGACTCTGTTCAAAGCGGCGGTGCTAGAAGGAGTAGACGAAGGAGACTGGCCGGGAGCTGAGATCGTGGATGGAGGAACAGCGCTGCCGGAAGGAGCGGAGGCGGGAGCGATGCGAGGAGCAACTGGAGCAGAGGTCGGTGGTGCGGTGGTAGGGGCGGAAGTAGGAGCGGAGGTCGGTGGCTTCATGGAGGGAGACGGAGTTGGAGAAGGAGTCGCCACCGCCTTCGGAGGCGATGCTACTGGAGACTTCGCCGGTGATGCACCCGGAGCCTGAGCGAATACAGCTCCGACCACCATAGCGAACATCAACACCAACACTGCGCTAGAGTATGCCATTCTTGTTGTTTCCACTCTCTCTTCCAAAGAACTAGCAAATATAAAGCGAGAAAAGGTTAAGAGTAGAGAGAGAGAGAGACAGAGAGAGAGAGAGAGAGAATGGGTTTTGAAGATGAGAAGCGAAGTGTATATATATATAGCGGCGTTAAGATCCTCTATGGGACGGTGTTGAGAGTTGAAGTCGGTTTGAGGACAACCAACTAAATTGGGGGAATAATGTTAATTTAATTCTGTGGACTAATCATTGATTGACAACACAGCAACACAGGTTTTCCACGGTGGTTGAGAGTTTTGATTTTTTTTTTTTTTTTGCCCTGCATTTTTTACAGGGTAGTTGCGGATTAGATTAGAAAGTGATAAGCCTTTTTTGAGAAGTTTTTTTCATTTTCTTCTTTTATCTCCAAGTCCAGTATTTGAATTTTTTGTGTTAATATTTTAAATTAACATTATATTGTTAATGTGGATTAAGAATAATTAATTATGTTTAAGGGCCAATTAAATTGTATAATTACAAAAAACTCCGTTAATAGCTTTGAGATTTGAATTTTGAAAAAAAAATTACAGTTTTTAAAACTTCCACCAATTCTCACAAAAATTAATCAATTGATTGAATCTTTCTGTGGCCTAATTTTGCAAAACTTCACTAGTAATTTTTTTTTTCCTTCTCTCTCTAAGACTCCATGGTTGCGTTTAGAGACCCTAAGAGATGGAATTATGAGATGAGATTACTAGTATGGTGATATTAAAGAATAATGTTAGATACTCTAAAATTTCTAACAAATGTCTCATATGGTGTGGGATTCACACTATGTGGAATCTCTAACATTTTTGAATATTAAATTGGACATTTTATAAAGTGATGAGAGGCTAAATAATCTTTGAATCCCAACCTTCCATTCTCAGGAGATTCATAATATGCGATTTTTCATAGATTATTATTAATTCAATCTCTCTCTCCCGTGTTCTTGAGTTGTTGGTGGTGACCTTTATTGTGTCATTTTTTTTTTTGAACAAGTACTTATGTTTTGAGCTTGCTTGAAGATTTCTCTCACTAGTTTTTCCAATTTTTTTTTTCATTTCTGAGTGTTCGTTGTCTATTTCATGATTAGATTGGTTGATATATGCATTTTTTTCATATTATTTGTTTGTTTTACAATATATATACATGTTTTAGGATTAATTGGTTAATATATATATATATATATTTTCATGATGTTAGTTTATTTTTTTGTTTTACTTTATTTATTTATTTGTTTTTTATTAGCAAAAAAAATTATTGATAATAATAGACACGAATACGTACGATTATACATCAATAAAGGAAAAGACAAAGGGGTCTTTTGGGAAGGGAAAATGCGGGCGACACCCAGTAATGGGCGACCCCCAGCGACCTCCAGCCCACGTGGTTGTGGGTGATTGGCAGGAAAGAAAAAAAAAAAAAAAAAACTGGCGAATGGCGCTGCGCCACGTCACTGGGGGTGTGTAGCATTGTTGCCCATTATATATACTTACGCCTCGTTTGAGAATAGATTATTTTAGTAATTTTTTGACTTTTCACGAAAAGATGTGCAGAAAAATAAAGAAAATGATGTGATGACTTATAGTGACTTTTTGATTTTTTGACTAAAATTAAAAGTTGCCAAACGAGGCCTTAGTGCCCTATTTTGTTGAATTGGAAAGAGATTAAATGAAATGAAATGGAATGGAATAATTATTCATTTATAATGGTGAACAATGGTTTCATTTATAATATATTTTTTATTATTTTTTTAGTCAACTAAACATGGGAATGAAAATTTTGTTGGAATAATTATTTAATTTTAGTGATCCAAACACTACCTAGTGTAAGAGGATCCAAAGGCTAATTTTGTATAATCATAAAATATAAAATATATAATAAAAAATGACATTTATGAATAAATTGTCATTTATTATAAATAATATCAAAGAATCAACAAATATTAAATAACTGTAAAAAGAAGAATTTGATAATATCTATCAACCTCACAGCCACTGTCACCGCCAAGTCAATCAAAAAAATTAAATTAAAATAAACCTAAGAAAAATATCTATTGAAAAAACACAAAATCTTCACGGCGAAACGAGGAAACTTCAGATCATATCTAAATCAACAAAGCAGCTGGCAAGAGTACCACCGCAACGGATCCAGCGACAGTGACTCTGTTCAAAGCGCCGGTGCTAGAAGGAGTGGAGGAAGGAGACTGGCTGGGAGCTGAGATCGTGGATGGAGGAACGGTGCCGCTGGAGGGAGCGGAGGCAGGAGCGGTGCGAGGAGCAACTGGAGTAGAGGTCGATGGTGCGGTGGTAGGGGCGGAAGTAGGAGCGGTGGTCGGTGCCTTCATTGAGGGAGACGGAGTCGGAGAAGGAGTCGCCATCGTCTTCGGAGGCGATGCTACCGGAGACTTCACCAGTGACGATCCTGGAGCCTGTGCGAAGATAGATTCGGCAACCATAGCGAACATCAACACCAACACTATTGCGCTCGAGTAAGCCATTATTGTCTTTTTCACTCTCTCTCTGTTCGAAAATATAAGAATGAGAAAGGTTAGAATATAGAGAAAAATTGTGAGAGTTTTTATAAACTGAGAATTGGGATTTGATATGAAGCAACAGAGAATAGTAGTCATATATATAGTGATGGTGGGAGGGACAGTGTTGAGGGTTTAAGGACGATTAGGTCGAGAAAAAATATTAATTTAAGTTTGCGGACTAAGCATTGCTTAATGAAAAATGCTAGGATATCAAAGTTTTTTTAATATTTTCCCTGAGATTTATTTTGGGAAGTAAATTAATTAATTAATTAATTTTTTTGGTTCTTTTTTGAAAGATTGTAAACAATTAGAAATATAATGTGATTTAAAAAAATTAAAAAAATCAAAAAATTATCTCTTATGGTGTGAGACACACTTATGGCCTCATTGAAATATGAGCAATTTTATATCTATTTAAATTCTTACTAATAATGTTATTAAAAACATACATGATCAAATATCATATAAGTCCTAAATTTTTTATCAAATGAATGACTAAATATTTCATTTAAGTGTAAGTTCATATGAGACCTTTAATCATTTACTTGGTAAAAAATTTAGGGTATGTTTGGTTTGTGTTTGAGAGATGTGTTTTAGAGATAAAAAGTACGAAAACATGTTTGGTTTAGTTTTTTTTAAAAGATGTTTTTCTATTTAAATTCTTACTAATAATGTTATTAAAAACATACATGATCAAATATCATATAAGTCCTAAATTTTTTATCAAATGAATGATTAAATATTTCATTTAAGTGTAAGTTCATATGAGACTTTTAATCATTTACTTGGTAAAAAATTTAATGTTTTTAACATTATTCTTAAGATTGACACGTTTTTAAATAAAATTATTACTTTTTATTTAGAAAAGGTGTTTTGATTGGAAATCATATGGCCAGGTCACATCTGAGTGGAACGTTGAGAGAAGGAACGGTACTAATACTTGTTCGTTAATAATGAAAATTCCAGCCTACCGTTAAGATTGACACGTTCTTTTTTTTTTTTAATAGAACAGTTTTTCAACGAATGATTCTCAATACAAAAATTACACCTTAATTGCCAGATAAGCTATTTTATTACTCTAAAAAAATATTAACAATTTGAATGAATGATAATCACATAAATATGAGCCCAACACAGTATGAAATGCACAGTTGTGTGATTGTTTGTGATTTATTACTTTACGAATTACATTTTGGATTGTATTTCCCTCGTGTTCACATTGACACGAAGGGAGTTAAAAGGGTTCAGAAAGTTTATTATTAAGTCAAGTTTGGTATCTCCATAAAAAGTTAAAAAATTGTTCAAAAAATTAAAAAATTATCATTATTTATCAAAAAAATATTAAAAAAATTAATTTTCTACACATCTATATAACTCAGCAATCATGACAAAGCTGGCACTGTGCAGCATTTGTTAAGAACAATTGCACAGTTTGTGGGGGCTCATTACGGGTTCCATTTTAATAATCTGAACTGTCAATGTGTAGAACTTGTCGAGTAATATATATTTATAAAAAATCACGTTGATCAGATATTATTAACTATATGATCAAATCAGTTTTGTATAAACAAAATGGATGGTGTGATAGTTAACTGTTAGAAAAAAAAACTAATCCGATCAGGACCGACCATCACTGTCCAAAAGTTATTTGCCCCGAAAGAGTAGATTATTTTTCTGTGTAGACATACTGGGGCAGCCGCAAGCGGCTGTACAATCAATCACCTTTCTTCCACTACACACTTTATTTATATAATTTTTTATTACACATTTTTTTATAAAAAGACAAAAAATTAACCTAAACATCCATCTTTTTTTCCTTAACTTTTTAGTAGGGCTGAGCAAGTGATCCGTGAAATCCGTAATCCGATCCAGTCCAGTCCAATCCGATAGGTTTGGACTGATTTTTTAAATCCGCGGTTCGGTTCCGGATTGAAGAATTAAAAATCCGTAGTCTACGGATTGGTTCTGGATTGAACCCCATGGTTCCGGATTGAAACCGATCCGGACCGTATACAAATAGTCTATATTTTTATTATACATCCTCCCCTATAGTATCTTCTCTTAATTCTATATAAAATCTAAACTCAAACCTAAAACCGTATAATATCTTCTTTTATTACTCTTGTTTGTTGGTTTTTAGTTTTAATTTGTAATGGTTTAAATACTTATAGTGAAACCAATTTTCTTATGGTTGTTTAAATTTTAGAACAGTATGTCGCTATTATAGAAAAATATGTTGCTATTGTGGAACTAATATAGCGCTATGTTTATATTTTTATAAAATTAAAGTGTTATAAATATATTTTTGTTATTTAATTATGTGAATCCGTACTCCTAAACCGATCCAATCCGTATTTAAATGGATTGGTTCGTATTGGTTCCATGATTTAAACGGATTGGATTGGTTCCAATTTTTTTGGAACCGTAGATAACGGATTGGTCCTGGTT